GAGGCAGATTGTTCCACTGGTTAATTGTTCTCACTGTCAGGAAGTTTCTCCTTAGTTCCAGGTTGCTTCTCTCCTTGATGAGTTTCCATCCGTTGCTTCTTGTCCTGCCTTCTGGTGCTTTGGAGAGTAGCTTGACTCCCTCTTCTTTGGGGCAGCCCCTGAGATATTGGAACATGCTGGTTAGGTATGGTGGAAAGGGTGGAGCAACTGGGGAAGGATATTTTTGCCACCGCTGCCCACGAGCAGAAACCGAGGCCCACAGAAGCGCTGCCCTGTCCTTTAAACACCCCGCCTCGATTTGCAACAACTTGCTAGACTGCTTTAGGCCCTCCAATGTTCATTCTGCATGGTGCAACCTAATTGTTTTGTGTGTTCTGAGAAGGGCAGTAGATGCCCAGTGTCTCCCTCCGAGTGTTAATCAAAGATCATTTCCTTAAGGGAGAACGGGTTTGTTAAGAGAGACATTATTCAGAACGTTATCAGCTTCTCTCTGCAGGCAAGGATACGCATCCACTTTTAGGCTTCTAAACAAAACAAAACAAAAAAAAACAATCTAAAGGCCGGGAAAGGGAGAAAATGACTTTTCCGCGATTTAAAGATTGGCCGTAACACTCTGGGTTACCGAAAACTTAGCCAGCCTGGCATTGGTGAACCTCATTCATTAACAGTCTTGCCGGTGAGGCCTCCGTATCTCGGCGTTCATTTTATACTTTAATCTGGTTACTCAGCCCTTAATTGTCCTATTCCAAAGGGAAGGGGAAAAAAAAAGAGCTTTAGGTGATACAGAAAATAATACGTGGCATTTTATATCTGCAAAAGCTCGGGCGAACTTGGGGAGGTTTTGATGCGCTCCCGTTTCCTTGGGTTTCTCTCTGGAATCGCAGATGTGATGGGGCAGGATAGAGAAGCCAACTGTGCTTAGCAGCGGATACTATTCAGAGGAAAAAGAACACCTAGCCAGAGGTAAACATTATATGTGCATCTGTACCTACCGATGTGCAGGGAGATTATCTCTGCAAAAAGAAATACCTGGAAATTAAGAGTCTTCCACTCCGTCCGGCTGGGTAGCTCTCCACGATATCTAACGTTTGTTCTCCACAAATTGGGGTCCCGCGTGACTCACGTTGTGACCGGCTGTAAATATACGGGTCCAGTATTTGATTTTCCCCCCCCATATAAACGATGCTGCACTTCAGTGGTTAGATGGCCTAGATATCTGAATATAGCTCTTTTTAACATTCAAATTTTACGGTGTTTTCTAGGCAAAATGTTAATCCATATTGCAAGTCCGTGTACGATATGCCGTACGCTAAATAAATAATTACGTTCTCCATCTCTCCATCCTGCTCCCGTCCTTGCCATTTGTGGGGTTCTGGATTTAGAATAGAATAACAGAGTTGGAAGGGACCTTGTAGGTCATCTAGTCCAGGGCTTTTCAACCAGTGGTACGGGCACCACCTGTGGTACATCGGCACCTGGCAGGTGGTACGCGAACATCCTAGAAAAGTGGTAGCGGGGGAGGGGAATGAGCTGAACCAGTAGCACCGCACAAGCCTGAGCGAGAGAGCGACAGCCCTGGGCTGTCAGGGCTCAGCAGAAGCGCCAGGATCAGTGCCGCTTTCCAGTTGATCGGCGCTTCTTCGGGGCTGTCAGGGCTCAGCGGAAGCACCAGGATCAGCGCCAGGCTCCAGCTGGAGCTCGGTGCTGATCCTGGCGCTTCTGCTGAGCCCAGAAGAAGCGCCGATCAGCTGGAATGTTGCAGCATCTCCAGGGTCTTGTGATTTACATTCAGATGCTTGGCAACTGTTTCATATTTATGACGGTCACAGTGTCCCAGGGTCATGTGAAGTGACCAAAACCTGCTGCAACCATCCAGCAGATGGGGGGGAATAAAAACCAAACACTCCCCACCCCATCACCGCTGCCAATCCTCAACAGAAATGCTCACAATGAAAACCTCGGACAGGAGGAAGAGCGCCGCCGGGTGGGCAGGCAGGTGTCTTGCTCGGCTGTGGCTTGGGGGGCACTTTTTTCAGTGCCATTGTAACTTCGAACCGTCACTAAGCGAACTGCTGTAAGTCGAGGACTACCTGTACTTTATCACTTTTTTCCTTTTTTTTTTTTTTGGGTCATCAGGTTTTTGACACCTTGCTAGGCGACTGGTGGTACTCAGATGTTGCCATATCCTAAAAGTGGTACAATGGGTGAAAAGGTTGAAAAGCCCTGATCTAGTCCAACCCCCCCCCCCACCCAAGCAGGAGACCCTACACCATTTCTGACAGATGGCAGACCAGTCTCTTCTTGAAAGCTTCCAGTGATAAAACTCCCCCAACTAATACAGGTAGTCCTTAACCTATAACCACAACAGACCCTACAATTTGGTTGCTAAGCAAGACAGTTGTTAAGGGAGCTTTGTCCGCTTTTACGACCTTTCTTGCCACCACTAAGTTGAACAACACGGTTGTTAAGTGAATCTGGCTTCCCCATTGACTTGGCTTGTCAGAAGGTCGCAAAAGGGGATCACATGACCCCGGGACGCCACGACCGTCATAAATACGAGTCAGTTAAAAAGCATCCAAATTTTGATTACGTGATTACAATGGTCGTTCAGTGTGAAAAACACTCACAAGTCACTTTTTCCAGTGTTGTTGTAACTTTGAATGGTCACTAAATGGTCACTTGTAAGTCGAGGACTACCTGTATTCATGTAATTTGTTTCAGTGTCCACTTTATAACAAAATAATGGCTCAGCTATTTTTTTTTGTTTGCAACATTTTCTCCTGCGTTATTTATTAATGTGTTCTGTTCGGCTTCTGATTCTGATCTTTTCATGTTTTAAAATCACCCTATTTGTCCAGAGAACTTGTTGACCGTAAAAATAAAAAGCACAGTAATTTAACTTCTGAACCAGGAAACTATATTTTTTTTTCCTTAAGCGCAATGGGGAATGTGGACTTCGTATTTCTACCACGGTTTATTTACCTCTTTGACAAACGGACAAATAATATCTGTGGGTCTCATGGCAACCATTTTGTTGGCCCAGAGTAGGAATAATGTACATCTGAAGCCCGAATGGAATTTGCCTTTTCCAAAACTGCATTATATATATATAAAAAAAGGTCATAAAACCAAATTGAAAAGCAAACAAAAGTCTGATTCCTATTCTGATTTGAATGCGAGTCTGGTCAAGATTGACCAGTGACTAAGTAGAAAAGAACAGATTTCTGACTTAAAATTCTCTCTGCTACTGTTTACATAAAGCTCAGGCTTCTTTCTTTAGCGGAGTTTTAATTCCCAGAATTAAAACTCCTTAGCGGTCTTTTAAAAGAACGCGTGCCAAAGTTTAAAAGAGAGGGGCGCTCCTGAAAATCCACCAGGTTCAATTCGGACACGTGACAGGCCGACTAAGTCTCCCATTTTGGTCGAGCATCTTGCATTAAACTTCCCAGCTGCAGAAAAAACCTGATCTTTTTTAATAAAAAAAAAAAGATCAATTTGCAGGCTAAGCATAGATAGAAGTTGGCAGCTTCTGGTCAACTTCTGATCACAAATTAAGGATATTTTCAATATGCACAAGTGAGTTTCTCTTTCTTCTTTTAAACCACTCTTATGAAAAAGACCTGCATTTAGGTGGCAAAACCCATATATTTAAATAACCCTGTTTTCTCACCACAGCCTCAGGTGTTTCCTGAACATTAGCCCCAAAGATATGAAGAAAAAACATGCTGACTAAAATACATCCATGCACTGCTCACAGTTATTTCCATGGGCCTGTTATTCCAGTAAATACAAGGAATTTTAAATCTGAATTTCAAAACGCAGAATACGATGGATCCTTATAATGTTATTGGCCAGCATCTTTTGGTTCTGAGGTAAAAGAGACAGAAAAAAAGCTGTATCTTTAATGCAGGGGGTCTCTGAACGTGGCAATTTTAAGACGTGTGGACTTCAACTCCCAGAATTCCCTGGCTGGCTGAGGAATTCTGGGCGTTGAAGTCCATGAGTCATAAAGTTGCCAAGCTTGGAGACCCCTGCTTTAAAGTCTTGGGTTGAAAAAGTAGACATGAATACACGGATTGAGTCTCCATCACATCCGCATCCAGAAATCTATAGAACCTTCCACAACATGAGGAAAATATATATATAAAAAGTAAAACAACAAAGTCCTAAAAATAATTCTGAGGCAAATTTCAAAATAGTTGCAGTGCCTTCCAGGTATCGACTTGAGTCAAAAAATCTATTTCTAGGAAGTGCTTGGATAAACTACAGGTAGTTCTTGACTTAACTATCATTGGTTTAGTGACTGTTTGAAGTTACATCGGCACTGTAAAAAGGGACATATGACCGTTTTTCACACTTACAAACCATTACAGCATCCCCCTGGTCATGTGATCAAAATTTGGACACTAGGCAACTGGCATGTACTTATGACAGTTGCAGTGTCCCAAGGTCACGTTCCCCTTTTGTGAACTTGTGACACGCAAAGTCAACGGGGAAGCCAGATCCACTTAACAATTGTGTTACCAACGAACAACTGCAGTGATTCACTTAACAACTGCGGCAAGATAGGTCATAAAATGAGGCCATATTTATTTGGTAACTGTCTCACTTAGGTAAGGGAAATTTTGGGATCAATTGTGGTTCGAAGTCGAAAGCTACCTGTACGGTAGCCAATTTTAAAATAGCCACGGTGCCTTCTAAATATCAACCTGAGTAAAATAAACAAATACATCTATTTCCAGGAAGTGCTTGGATGAACTTTTGAAATGAGCGAAGCGAGAATCTGTTCTTTTTTCAAAGATGGAGTATTTTTGAATCTTAATTCTACTGGGCTTTGGAGGGGAGAGAAAAATTCTAACTCGTATTTTCAGTTGTAGAAGAGAAACGTACCACCCCAATAGACAAACGCACACCCCAAAAAGAAAAGGGAAGTTATTACACAAAAAGCTAAGGCAAATTTATTTACGTTGTTGTAAAAAAAAAAATGGGAGGAGGAAAAAAAACGAGGAGAAAGTTTCAAATACTCCCGTCAGAAAAATATCTACCAGTCCTTTACTCCATCCCGAGTCACATCTGATTTTCTGGCTTTGCAGAGGCTGTGTAAATCACTCCAAGGGCTTCAAAAGGATCATAATTATTAGCCTCTCCCGCTTCTTAAACCGGGCAAACGCAAACTTGGAAAAGGCGGCAATATTTACAAAAGTCTCTGTTGATTGTTCTTCTGGTTGGTGAGTCCATAAATTCTCAATTCATGTCTGTCACACTTGGTGAAGGAGGAGAGAGAGAGAGAGAGAAAGTGAGAGACAACTGGAGGGACAGAATTGTGTCTTAAGATTGTGCATCTTTGTGGTTCCCTCCAGGAATCCAAATCCTCAGAAATGTGACAGCAACGGACAGGCAGCAGAAGCTGGACCGGATCCCTCTGAAAGAGGACTTGGAAACAGGAAGGTCCAGGGCTCCCGCCTGACAATTCTCCACAACCTCAGTGTGCTTTGTGCTTCCCCTTTTTGTGTTTTTTGTCCTTCTTTTTGCTGGCGCATCTGGAGCAAAACCACTGTATCTCTTCTGGAGGAGCAGCCGTGATGCCGACGCAAGGCCTGCGAAGGAAAGGGACAAGAAATGAAGGCGGCAGAGAAGGAGAACCAATTCCTACAAATTAAACAGGATTAAATAACTACAGGTAGTCCTTGACTTACGGCCACAGCTGAGCCCCAAATTTCTGTGGCTAAGCAAAACCGTCGTTAAGTGAGGTTTGACCCATTTTACGGCCTTTCTTGCCCCGGGGGGGTTAAGTGAATCACCTCAGGGGTTAAGTTAGTCACACACAGTTGTTAATTTGAATCTGGCTTCCTCACTGACTTGGCTTCTCGGAAGGTCGCAAAAGGGAATCACGTGACCCCGGGATGCTGCAACCGTCGTAAGTACATGCCAGTTGCCAAGCGTCGGAATTTTGATCACGTGACCATGAGGAGGCTGAGACGGTTGTACAGTAAGTGTGAAAAAAACCAACAGTCCTAAAGGACTTTTTTCAGTGCCGTCGTAACTTCGAATAGTCACTAAACGAATCAGTGTTAAGTCACTGTAATTTGATTTAAAGGCAATGGAGCGACAGTTCACCATCCTGTGATGGTGGTTTGATAGAATGTGGGTTTTTTAAAAAAAAACAATACGTTTTGTTTGAGGATGGCTTTACTTTCACACACACACACACGAAATTGTATGGGGCATCGCCTACACGGAAGAGATTCCACGATTTTAATTTAAGTGGCGTCAGCGCTGATCTCGTGTTTTCCCCCACCTCAAAATCTCCTGTAGATATGAATAAAACGAGGCACCGGTGGATTTACACAACGGTTATTTCCTGTAGTTTCTCATGAAATGTGTCCTTAGATACTTAGAATAGCTGTCTATCTCTGAGTATTAGCGTTATGCGTTTTCTCTGAATTGTACTTCCTGATATATATATTTTTTTCCACAGCGTGCATAAACTGGAATGCATCTGTACATAAATAATTTTCTTTCTGAGTTTTTTTTCTTTTTTTTGGTAGTGCTTCCTTTACTGTTTTTAATCATGTTTTTTGATTGTATTTCCCCATCCTTTAAACAGATATGAACACGCAAGCCAGAGCTTTTATTTATTTAGCTGAGAAATATAGGAAATTAAAGAGCTGAGGGAAAAAAGTTTAAACTTTTTTTTTTTTAATAGCCACTGAGATCAGTTGTCTGTTTAAATGTGTAGAACGATTACTCAGTTCGCTGAATAAATCCTTTCAGTTGTAGAACGGGTCTGTTTTTCAGTTCCGAAAAAATACTCTTAGGATTATTTAAGTAATGAAAATTCAGGGAACGCTATATTCACACCAGTGCTTTGCAAGAAGGAATTCAATACCGCAAAGAGTACGAACAGGCCAAATGTATCACTTGGCTGCTACCGAAGCCTGTTTGCCCAAGATAGGGGTCTATAAAATCATTTAAAAATGAGGGCTTGTGTTAGGCCTGGGGATGGAATGCCCCCGAAGGGCTGAAGAAAAAAATAAACCAGATTTAACTTGATTTTTACATTTACTTATGGTAGGAGAAGGAGGTGGCAGAACCTGAGGGCGGAGTTAAAAGAGGAATGAGTCCAGAATTTCTAGGTAGCCACAAGCAGACTAAAGTCCAACTCTCCTTGAATTCTGCTGGTCTTTATCTAACTGCAAGCAGGTGCTAACACTTAGTTGAGAAAATTCTTATACTTGTTTTTTTTTAGCAATAAATCAGTTTAATTGGACCTTCATATGTGGACTTGATCTTTCGTGCCTGATACTATTAAATATAGTATCTACGGTATATCCATCCATCCATTCATCCATCCATTCATCATGCCATCTATCCATCCATCATGCCACCATCATGCCATCCATCCATCCATCATGCCAGCCAGCCATCCAGCCTTTATTATTTTTACAAATAATTCAAGGGGGCAAACATATCCAACTCAGCTTCTTCCTTCTGTTTTCCTCACAACAACGACCCTGTGAGGTGAGTTGGGCTATGAAAGAAAGATACTGACCTCAAGTCACCCAGCTGGCTTTAACGCCCAAGGCAGAACTAGAACTCACTGTCTCCTGGTAATTGGCCCAAAGTCACCCAATCGGCTTCCTTGCCTAAGGTGGGACTAGACCTCATTGTCTCCTGGTGATGGGTCCAAAGTCACTTGACCAGCTTTCATGCCTAAGGTGGGACCAGAACTCATGGTCTCCTGGTTTCCAGCCTGGTGCCTTAAGCCACTAGACCAGGGGTAGGCCACCTTGGGTCTTTTATGACTCGCGGACTTCAACTCCCAGAATTCCTGAGCCAGCATGGCTCAGCTTGGAAACCTCTCCCTTTCCCCTCAGCATGGCTGGCTCAGGAATTCTGGAAGATGAAGTCCACCGGTCATAAAAGAGCCAAGGTTGCCTACCCCAAGATTATTTGCATATACTGTAATGTCCTCCTTTCTGCCACCTTGAAATACAGACTGATGGTAAGCACTGCCTGCAAAGTTTTGAGAAATGATTGCAGGTAGACCAAAAGACCCAATTCGGATAGTTTTTGTGTTTTGGACACTTTAGTGTTGAGATCTTGTCTGAATGCTTCCAGCTGATTACAATAGGTCAGTGATGGTTTGAACCTTTTAGAGACCGAGTGCCCAAACTGCAACCCAAAACCCACTTATGCATCGTCGGGTGCCGGGTGTGTGTGGCCCATTGGGTGTGTGTGGCCCATTGGGTGGGCGTGGCTATGATGGTAACGGCAGACTGGGTGGGACTAAAAAGTTCAATCAATCAATTCCAACTTTGCAAGATCTTTTTTTTCCCCGCAAGAAGCTGAAATTGACTGATTGATTGAACCTTTTTTTTTTTTTGCACACGGTGGCGGAGGCCTAAAGCGAAAACATTTTATAAAACCCAGCTGAAGGCCTAGGACTGGGGCGATGATGCGTGTGCCCACACAGAGGGCTCTGAGTGCCGCCTCTGGCACCCGTGCCATAGGTTTGCCACCACTGCAATAGGTTGACAGCACTGCAATCTTAGATAATAAACAATCATTTCCAAGGAGAACACTATATCGTGTGTAGGCCTGGGACTACAACTCCCAGAATTCCCACAACGGTTCCACCACATGACTTCGAAAGCTGAGCGTGGCCTCCACCACTTACCAGTGATACCAATCGTCGCAATCGTCACACCCAATCATTGGGCTGCCGTCGTCCGGCTTTTCGCAACCGGGACAGATCCATATCTTGTTTCCCCACTCATCTCGGATCTGGAGGGAGAGAAAAGGTGGAAGAAAGTGAAGGCTCAAAGGGGCAGAAGAAGCCTCCTTTCGTGTAACTTTCTACATGTTCCACAACAGCTGTCTAACATAGCATTTCTAAGCTGCATGGACTTCAAATCCCAGCTGTATGGACTTCAAATCCCAGTGCTGGCTGGTGAATTCTGTGATTTGAAGTCCACACAGCTTAAAGTTGCTGACGTTAAGAAAGACTGATTCAATAGCTCAAGGATGGGAGGTGGGGGAGAAGCAGAAGCGATCCCACCGTATTATTTGAACAAATGTGTGTGCATACAGGCATGCAGGCTTCTGTAACAACAATATCAATGGTAATATATTAGATTTATAAGGAAGCTAGATCAGAGAAACTCAAGGCAAGTTACAACTGAAAAACTCAAATCAAAACAATGATATACATAAAATAAACAACTTCCTGCTTTGGAGAAGTGCAGAAAAAAACAATGTCAACCATTCTTATTCATGACTTTGCAGCCCATGGTTTGTTGAAAAGGCCATCTTGTCAATGAAGATTAATCTTGGTGAAGATTCTCAGTTATCCAGGTAGAGTTGCCTGAAGGTGGAATAATTGAAACTCGACTCCATTTCAATGATTCAACCTTCAGACAACTTCAGACCACGTTCAGACAACTTGCTAATGCTTTTCTAAAGCAGAAGAGTCAAACAGACCTTTGGGGGAATAGTATTTCAGGAGTATAACGGGAGTCGTTATTTCTTTAAAAATAAAACACCCTCACAAGTGTCTGAAAAAAGTCTCTATATTGCATTGGTAAAATATACAAATTCTGCAAATGCTAAAAGTCTAAACCTTCTATAAGCAACCTTTGTGTTGTGCAGAAAACCAACATTTGGCCCAGATCTAACCCTGATGACGAGAAGCATCTGAAAACCTAATGGATAGCTTCTAAGTGTTTGCATGTAAGGTTAAATCAGAAGCAAAAACCTGAAGGCTAGAACTAAGGAGACATTTCCTGACAGTTAGAACAATTAATCAGTGGAAGAACCTGCCTCCGGAAGCTGTGAAGGCTCCAACACTGGAGGTTTTTAAGAAGAGACTGGACAACCGTTTGTCTGAAATGGTATATGGTTTCCTGCTTGAGCAAAGGGTTGGACTAGAAGACCTCCAAGGTCCCTTCCAACTCTGTTATTCGTGTTATTCTGTTAAGTTGGCTTGTTCTGAGAGCTCAATTCCAGAACAAGCCAAACTGAGCCTGGGATGGAATAATGTTGGTTGTGCGGACTGTGTTCTACACACCGGACAGAGAAGTTCATGACACAAAGGCCAAGTTGGTTTGCTGAAGGGATAAATCCCAATCATTGGCTTCAGTTGCCAAGGGGCCACTTCAGCCTTCCTCAACTGGCACCCTCCATTTGACTCGGTCTGTAAGCTCTTGTGCCCTCCACCTACCGAGCCAAGCATCTTGCCAGCCGTGGACAATGGGACTTGGAATCTGAATCAGAACTGAAGAAGCTTCTTGGATAAGAATCGAAATGTTTTCAAAGGAACACCCCCCCCCCCAAGAAAGTCTAGTTGCCTTTTGGAAGAGCACCTCTGGGACAACCGTGCCCTGGATGATTGAGAATCTGCATAGACTTGCAGTCTGATGGCTTGGAAGATGCCAGGGCTAGATTGGCGAAAGCAAGACTTCCCAACGGGGAGCCGAAACCGGTTCCGGCCCTACCATGCTCCTTCCACTCATTCTGCGCTGCCTCGGCCGCCTCCCTCTGTCCCTCCTCCCTGCCTTGCTGAAGACCGTCTTGGCAATGTGCGTCTAATTTATATACCGCGCAGGCATTTATTTAGGTTGCTGGGTTAGTACTTATTAGCCAAAGTCATCCAACTCAGCTCATTGATAAGATCAAGGGTATAAAAAAATAGTTACTGAGTAACTTTCCATTCCTTTGACATTCGTCACACCATGACATTTACGGAAGGGTAAGTGGGGGGGGGGAGAGAAATGGAGAGAAAGAGGTGGAGGGAAAGAGAGACAGAGAGAAAGAGAGAGAGGGAGAGAGAAAGAAAGAGAGGGAGAGAGACAGAGAAAGAGAAAGAAAGGGAAAGACAGGGAAAGAGAGACAGAAAGAGAGACAGCGACAGAGACAGAGAAAGAAAGGGAGAGAGAGAGAGAGAGACAGGGGGAGAGAGAGGGAGAGAGAGTCAGAGAGGAAGAGACAGAGAGACGGAGAAAAAGGGAGACAGATAAAGGGAGAGACAGTGAGAAAGAAAGAAAGGGAGAGACGGAGAGAGAAAGGAAGAGACAGACGGAGAGAGGGAGAGAGATAGAGAAAGGGAGAGACAGAGAGAAAGGGATAAAGAGAGAGAGAGGGAGAGGGGGAGAGAGAGGGAGAGAGAGAAAGAGAAAGAGGGAAAGACAAAGAAAGGGAGAGAGACAGAAAGGGAGAGACAGAGAGGGAGAGAGAGACGGAGAGGGAGAAAGAGAGAAAGAGGGAGGGAGGGAGAGAGAGATGGAGAGAGAGAGATTAGAAAGTTTATAGCACTTTGCAGCATGCAGCTTGAGGCTGGCTCTTCTATTCATTATGGGGCACATTCAGGATATAATACATGCTGCTAATTAAGTTAATTGCAGCAATCCTGTTTTGGACAAAATGCACACTGGAATTCTGGCTTCTGTTAGAACTTAATGATTCTAGAAAGGTCTCTCTCCTTTGTCAACATGTGAGAAACTTTCCAACTTTTAGGCCATTTGATTTTAATTGTCTTAAATCCAAATAAATCTGAGCCTAAACGTATGGGATTCCATCTACATTTATGGGGCACATTTATAACATATATTATTGAACAATTATTAGTCTAAGGAATGGAATCTTGATAGAACACGATGAGTGTCAGCCTATTTTCAACTGACAGATGAAATGAATGGGAAAAGTTATACTCTAAATGTAAAGATATAGCCAGATATAGTTCTGTCTTTCTCCTGTGTAAGTTTTTCTGTTTTGTGACTGCTTCTTTCCTACGCTGAAGGAAACAAAATGAGCAAAAGCTGCAAAGAGTTACAGCAGCCTAAGAAAGCAAAGTGAGAGTTGAGCATGTAAATTTAATAAATATTTATTTAATTCAATGCCGCCCATCTCACCACCGAGGGATTGTAGAAAAATAAAAAAGCAGAAAGACTTGACTATATGCTTAAATTTCCCCATTACACCCAGGATTCTGCCATTAATAAGCTAAGAAAGCTCTCGATTAAAGTGATATAATTGCCCGGTAAGTTAAGTGATGTATGATGTTAAACCACTGTTTGCCTAAAATGGTTCGCTGAATAAATCTTAATTGGAATGGGTTTGACAATACGGTGAATCGTGAGCCTGGGTTTACAAACCACCCTTCACACAAGCTCGCATGCCAGCAAGGAAATGACCGTTTCTCAGTGCAATCTCTGAACTCAACCGTTGATAAGGCCTAGAAAGAGTACAGAGAAGAGCAACAAAGATGATTAGGGGACTGGAGGCTAAAGCATATAAGGAACGGTTGCTGGAATTGGGTATGTCTAGTTTAACGAAGAGAAGGACGAGGGGGGACATGATAGCAGTCTTCCAGTATCTCAGGGGCTGCCACAAAGAAGAGGGAGTCAAGCTATTCTCCAAAGCGCCTGAAGGCAGGACAAGAAGCAACGGGTGGAAACTGATCAAGGAGAGAAGCAACCTAGAACTAAGGAGAAACTTCCTGACAGTGAGAACAATTAACCAGTGGAACCACCTGCCTCCAGAAGCGGTGAATGCTCCAACACTGGAAGTTTTTAAGAAGAGACGGGACAGCCATTTGTCTGAAATGGTATAGGGTTTCCTGCTTGAGCAGGGGGTTGGACTAGATGACCTCCAAGGTCCCTTCCAACTTTACCATTATTATTATTATTATTATTATTATTATTATTATTATTGTTGTTGTTGTTGTTGTTGTTGTTGTTATTATTATTATTATTAATTATTATTAATTATTATTATTATTATTAATTATTATTATTATTAGGTCTGCCTCTGAACCCAGGTGTATCAGCCCAGAAAGTTCAAGCAAACGGTTCTGACATACCTAAGCCAACATGTCACAGTCTTCTGACTGACCGAAAGCTGGAATTGCATAATGCATAATGGTAGGCGAAAGAATTCTGTTTAACGACAACTGCTGGGATTTAGCCTGGATGGAATTACTATGGAAAACCATCTCTCTGAGGTAAAATATTTGCCGTTTCTGGATTCCCTCCAGAAATGATGGCAGATTTGCAAAACAGGAAAGCTTTGTTTGAGAAGTATAAAACGGAGGGCACTACATGACGCCGATCCAGAATCGGCAGACAAGAGTTTAACGTGCCAGGAAAATTATTATTGGTGCTCTTCTACAGAAGAGGTGAACAGTAACTGACCTACTGAGGTGATTTTTTTTCCTCTCTCTATCTATCTATCTATTGATCGATCTCTATCTCTATATATGAAGGCAGGACAAGAAGCAACGGATGGAAACTAAGCAAGGAGAGAAGCAACCTAGAACTAAGGAGAAACTTCCTGACAGTGGAAACAATTAACCAGTGGAACAACCTGCCTCTAGAAGTAGTGAATGCTCCAACACTGGAAGTTTTTAAGAAGAGACTGGACAGCCATTTGTCTGAAATGGTATAGGGTTTCCTGCCTGAGCAGGGGGTTGGGCTAGATGACCTCCAAGGTCCCTTCCAACTTTATTATACATATATATATGAATGAATGAAATTTTGATTTTGGGTTTTGCTGATTAGATAGGTCTGTCGTTATAGAAATGGCCAGTGTATATTATGATACAAAAGTAAAAACTTATTTTACGGCACCTTATTTTACTGTGCCAAAAAGAGTCGGAAACCACTGTTTTTCTTTTTCTTTTCCTCTTTCCCCTACTCTTTTCCCTCTTCCCTTTTTTCCCTCCCTCGTTTTCCCCTCGTTTTCATTTCTCTTTGTATTTCCGTATTTTGATGAACTCATAAAATATTGCACGGGGAAAAAAGAAAGAAACGGAGCAGATTGATATAAATAAAAAAGAGCAACCAGTTTGCAGGTAGTCCTCAACTTACAGCAATTCATTGAATGACGGTTCAAAGTTACAACGGCACTGAAAAAGGGACTTACAACTGTTTGTCACATTGATGACCCTTGCAGCATCCCCATGCTCAGGTGATCAAAATTCAGGGGCTTGGCAACTGGCATGTACTTAGGACGGTTGCAGTGTCCCGGGGTCACGTGATCCCCTTTTGCGACCTTCTGACAAGCAAAGTCCGTGGGGAAGCCAGATTCGCTTAACAACCATGCTATTCACTGAACAGCTGCAGTGATTCACTTAAGAACAGCAGCCAGAGTGGTCTTCAAATGGGGTAAGACTCACTTAACAACGGTCTTGCTTAGCAACGGGAATGCTGGGCTCAATTGTTGTCGTAAGTTGAGGACTCCCTGTACTTTTTAGGTTGCCTTCATTGACATGATATCCTCCCAAGCTTTGGCAAGCTGCTACCTCTCCTGCAGAAGATAGCCTTGGTGAGATGCATCAAACATCAGCAGCACAGGAACCTGGCTTGCCGCGTTCGTACTTACGGCCAAACTTAACTGCAGCTCAGCTAACTAACCAGAACAAGGGTACAAGGGAGCCCTCTTCCTCCCACCCCCCTTTCCTGGCTGTGAATGAT